GTATAGACTGAACGATTGGGCAGGAGTGTAGCTGAAGAACACCGAACTAAGCCCAAAGCCGATGACGAAGCTTAGGAGCCAAGATCGGCAAAAGTATTTCCTATTTTGCTTTAACTGAACGAAGCACTGACAGCGAAAAATGTCGCTTATTAATCGATTTCCATGGAAATGTATGTATGTATGTATGTGTTTGTATGTGTGTGTGTCGGTGTGTCGGTGTGTGTGTGTCCCTGAACGTGCACATATGCATGTGTTTAGTGCCTAAGTAATTTGTTTCCTGTCTTAACACACATGCCTTTTTTTCTGAGGGAAAAAAAACTGATTTTTCAACCTGTCTTTCTTGTTTATTTCAATAAAAAGAAAAGTGATTTTTGCTCAAAATTTTTGATTTTATGTTGTTTCTGGTGGTGGTGGTGGTGTTGCCGGTGATGATGGTCTTAATTTATTCATTTATTTTTTTAAAGTATCTTTTTGATTGATTTATCGAGTGTGACACTCTGTCGGTACATCCGTTTCACTATAGCATACCGTTATTTTTCCTTTACTTTTAGCTGTCACTCATTTGTTGTTCTGTGATTATGCGAAAGCGAAATTGATAACGCATATCGGTTTGAACAATTCTGTTGAATTAGTCAGTTTATAGTTATTTTATTCATTTTGATTCGTCCTTTTTCCTTTTGTTTTCCGTTGTATTTTTCCATTAACGCATAAATAACGCTATACAGTATAATATAACTAGCAGTTAAACAGTAATGAGAACAACAGGAACAACAAGAATTGTAGTAATAATACAGCAATAATAACAGAAACAAAATAAGGTTTTATGGATACGGAAGAGGGAACGAGAAAAGAAAGAAGAGGGGAAGGGGGTGCGGGGATAGGCAAGAGGATGGTGAAGATAAAAAAATAGATGGAAAATAGAGCTCGAAAAACTTATATATAATGTTTTTTTGCCTGCTTAACACAATCTATCATCAGCTTTTATTAACGCTGAAGCAAAAAGGGCAGAACCAAACAAAATTGAAGCAAATTTCATCAGCTGCATCCATCCCCCCACCTCTTTCCCCCTCCGGTCCCCTTTGGCTGTCCCCGTTTATAACACAATCTAAGTATCCCAGAAAAAAAAAATCAATACAATCTCCATCCTTTTTTTTCTTCACTTAGAAACTTCACTAAATGATCTTGAAAAAAACTTTTTTTTTTTTAATGTTTAGACAAAAAACTTATTTTCAACTTTTTTTCTTCCCTTATTTTAAACTTGTATAGTTTTAGGTGTTGTTATAGTGCAAGAAAAAAAAAACTTTTCTTGGAGGACAAAAAGAAGACGGTATCAGATGTGATTAAAAGTTAGGGAAGAGTTGTCTAAAAAATGAAAAAAAAAAAGAACGAATATTGAGTGAAATGAAGTTAAGTTGATGGCAGAAAAAAAAAAGAAAAGAGATGAGATGAAATGAAATGAAAGACAGCATAAACATCAAGTTTGGTTAAAGCCACTGAAGCTGTGGTTAAACTAAATAAAAACGGCATTTGTATACTTATTGCTTACATTTTCCACAGTTTTTTTCCCTTTTTTTTTCCATTTTGTCACTCGCTCGTCATCCGTTTGTTGTTGCACAAAATTAGGCAAGTGTTTCTAATTTTATTCAATAATTAAATGCAGTTGATAATTGATACTCCAATACATCTCCACCACCACCTCCACCACCACAGCAACACCAACACCAACACCAACACCAGCGCCACCATCTATCTACTCGTCTTCACCCATCTTTGGTACAAACGCACGGCTTTACCAACACTGACATTAGCAATCACCACAGAAAAAATTAGATGTGTTGTTGCTACTAGGGGTGCAGATGTGTTATATTCTGACACAATCAACATTCCTACATATCGATTTATTTATTTATTAATTTATTTTTTTACCAGTATTTCTAGGCCTG